AGGTGTTTTCACTCTGGACTCTAACCACTCACAGTTTACAGAGGTACAAAATTCCTAGACAGATGTGGCACCTGGGTCACTGCAATAGCTACCAGGATCACCCAAAGGCACAAGAGGCAACTATTGTCATTCCCTGGAACTCAAGCTGTGTGCTTAAGTTAAGCACTGCTCATTTCTGGCTGACACCCTCATGACTCTATATCTGTGCTTTTCCAGTCTTTCCGGCCTGGTAAGTCTTTTTCCCATCTTTTTATCTCAATGTGTTAAAAGCTTACTTCTTTCTCAAGGTCTTAGCACTTTTTTCTTATTCACAACACTACCTGCTCATCTTTATATACCTATTACCCTGGGATCTGGCCACTGCTTAACATATAGTAGAGGCTCCCAAAATACTTGAACAAGTCCAAAAGCCAAAGCAACCTCTACTAATGAGTTGCTTTGAAGGATAGAGCATTGCCTTTTCCTAACTGTGTTCAAGGGTACAGCAAGATGATCACAGAGGAGATGCTGTCAAGAGGATTAAAATTGTAGGATATCGGACTAGATGTCTTTTAAAACTCCTTTTGACCCAAAGAATGAAACTCCAAACAGACTCATGAAGGATGAATGCATTGTCATCTTTTTCTTTTTCTTTCCCTAAAGAGACATTTCAGAAATTCTGGTTAAGGACAGATTTTTAAATCTTCTGACGTTGGTTTTCTGTCATTTGTTGTATCCGTGGCAGCTCATGAGTAATAAGTAGCATCAAAAATCAGCAGCTGAACCACTATCCTTAAAATCAAATCAAGGAATAAGAGACAGAAAATAAGCATAAATTGCTAAATTCAGATTGGAAGCCCTACAAGAGGAGAGAAAAATTAATGGGAGCCAGAGTGATCAAGTGCAGGGTTTTTAAGCAGGTATTAGGTGGATAGGATGTAAATGGTGAGAGAGCACTTCCGTGTTAAGAAAAACAATGACTGGTAAGGCATGAAGAGACAAAATGAACAGTGTATCACTGAGGAAAAGTTCAAGCACATTTTGGGGAATAGTGGGAAATGCTGCTTGTCCAACAAAGTGGGACCAAATAATTGGGGGGCATGGGAATAAGGAAGGCTTGAGAGGCTCATAACAGGATACCACTGAAGTTCCAGAGCAGAGAAGTGAGATAATAAAAGAAGTGTTTAACAAAAATCAAGTCCAAGAGAAAGCTGCCTACTAGAGAGACTTGAAGGGACCATTATTAGGGTTGGGAACCTTTTTTCTGCCAAGGGTCATTTGGATATTTATAACATCATTCACGGACCATACAACATTATCATCTTAAAAATTAGCCTGCTATCAAGTTATTGATTTTCGAGTCTCGCCCGCAGTTGCCTTGGCAGGGCAAACCAAATGATTCTGCGGGCCTTCTATTGCCCATAGGCTGGACATGGCCTACTCCCATAAGGGTAGCCACTGGGAAGAAAGTCATAACTGAGTAGACTTAAAGAGTCAAGAGTTTTTCCTGGGGACAGGGGCAAGGAGCAGGAGGATCACTGGGAATGGAGAAGAGAGATAGCCTAAAAGAGGAGTTAGAAGGATCCTAAAAAGGTATAGAAGATAAAACAGATGGATGTATAAAAAATGATAGAAAGCATGGTGGTGTTAAGAACTGAGTCAATGGCTGGCGCCACGGCTCACTAAGCTAATCCTCCACCTTGCGGCGCCGGCACACCGGGTTCTAATCCCGGTCGTGGCGCCGGATTCTGTCCCGGTTGCCCCTCTTCCAGGCCAGCTCTCTGCTGTGGCCCGGGAGGGCAGTGGAGGATGGCCCAAGTACTTGGGCCCTGCACCCCATGGCAGACCAGGATAAGTACCTGGCTCCTGGCTTCGGATCAGCGCGATGCGCCGGCCGTGGCGGCCATTGGAGGGTGAACCAACAGAAAAGGAAGACCTTTCTCTCTGTCTCTCTCTCTCACTGTCCACTCTGCCTGTCAAAATAAATAAATAAATAAATAAATAAATATAAAAAAACCAAGTTTGCAAGACTATGGAGCACAATGAAAGGAACAGAAAAGGTGCAATCAGGGTGGGATAAAAATTCAGGAGCCAATAGTGTCACAGAAAACATGAAATTTCAAAAAAGAATAGGTGAAAGATGATGGATGGATAAAGACCAGAACATGTTAAAAGACACCATTGTACTAACAAATGATTAGGATCATGCCCCCTCTCAACTACTAACACATTATATAAAATTAGCTAATGGGGGAAAGAAAAATGGTTTTGTGGCTATAACAATGTCCCTTTTCATGTTTTTAATGACAAAAAAGATATATTAAGATGCTGACATCTTTGTGCAGAAATAGAAATAAAAGATAATTCTGTTAAAATGCATCAATTTTGAATAAAGTCATCTAGAATAAACACTCTTCTGGAAGCCATATAATTGGAATAACACTGCAAAATGCTGGGTACTGGCCAAATATTATAAGTGAGTGGCAACATATCCAGGTTTGCAGATCCTGGCAAAAGTTATAAGGAATATCCAAAGATATTTAAAACACAGGGATATAGGGACTATTAAATAACTCATGAAATACTGCTGAACACACACAGGTATTGCATTTCTGAGTTCACAAGAATGCTTGAGAAATGATGCCTCTCACATGAAACACCAAGGACCTAACATGGATTAGACTTATATCTACTTTCATTTTAGATGAGAATCATCTGGGAAGGCACTACACAGAGAAAGCAATGTTTCTGATCAGTTTGGGTACTAAAAATCACTCAGATATGACTGATGGAGATGATATTAGAGGAAGGCAAGTACTTTTTCCTCCGATGCTGTTAGGCTGGAAGCTAGCCTCTGAAATAGGCATGTGAACTACTATGGAAGAAATGCCCTCTACTTCCCCAAAATGGAAATGAACAAACTAATAAATAATGGTGTCCATGGAAAGATCCAGATTTTGTGAATTCTAAAGCTTATATAATTTGGGTGGCCTCTGTAAGAAATAAGAAAGATTATAATATTCAATATTGAACTACTTATTTAGACTAAATCAGAATGAACCTGCAGTTGAAAGCCCATTAAGTATTAAGTTTATTAGCAACATGCTAAATCCACCTCTGCTACTGACCAAGTATTGGGAGTAAAGTGTGGAAAAGGATAAAGAGCAAGTATTCAGGGAGAAGAAAAACAAGAGACAAAATGCTCTTTAAGGAATACTGGAGACAGACCAAGAAAAAGAAAAAAATCCCAAAAAGAACCCTGATTTGTGGAATATGGATGGTATAGAGATGAGAGGGAAGGCAGAAGTCATAATCAATGTACACAGCACATTACAGTCATATATATTTCCCACTCATCAATAATCATGTTGCTTCTAGGAGGCTTGTCTAGAAATATCAGGTTTTTGAAACCACTAGTCCACTTCATTGCAGGCACCCAACAAGTGTTGGTGAACAAATGAATGATTAATGAATGAATGAAAGGAAATACTCCTTTTTCTAACTGTCCACCAGCATCTGCTTTCCTCTAATGATCCGCCATAGAGATGTTTTCACTGGCACTGGCTGGAATTGTCAAAGCAACAGTTCATGCAGATCTTTTCTCTGGTGATTAGGACTGCTTATCCTAAACAATAGAAGCCAAACGCTATCTGCACCCAGGATTAATTTGCAAGCATGTTCAGAGTCTCCTCACAAGGATTATACAAGGAGACTTTAAAACGTTTGTGGAAAAATTAAAATATAAGTTCATTTTGCTGCAAAACAATCTTGAAATCCATACAGAGATTTTTCATTATTCTCATTTTCTGTGGACTTTATAAAGAGCATGAATTTCAAAAAAATGTTTGCACCAAATTAAATTTAACATTCTATTTCCATTTTCCATAAACATAAAATGGCTACTGTGGGACTCCCCTACTCACTCTCCTGCCTTCTTTCTCCCTCTTTCTAAATCAGATCCTGCAGGAATCTCTCTGAAATGATTAACATTTCAGAAGGCAGAGGGACAGGTCAGAGTGAGATGGTAGCTAGGGCTGAAACACAATTCTGACATATCATTTTACCAATTCTAACACACATGACAATTTAATCATGATGAGAAACAGAAAAGCCTCATGCACCACTTGTTTGGTCAGCCACAAACCCAAACCAGGACCAGGGTACAAAATTCAGGCAGTGGGAACTCTTCATCAAAGAACATGTAAGGGCGCTCCCTGAACTGCCCTCAGTGCCTGTTTCATAAATTGATTCCCTTTGGGTAATAAATACCCTACAGTTTCTTGCAAATCCTTAAAAACCAGCAAGTCCTTAAAACTAAGAGCTCACCCCGCCCCACACACGTTTTTTTGCTGTTGTTAAATTTTACCTCTTCCTAAAGGCTTCTGCCTCTTTGCTCTTCATGTACTCAATTCTCTAAGGAAAAGTGCTTAGAGAAATGCAAGACTGGAATTCTACTATTACTACTACTACCACTACTATTACTACTACTACCACCTCAATACTACAAAAATCATATGCTGAGGTTTCTGCTTAGGGCAAAAGATGTGAAATCAGTAAGACAATGCAGCCACCTCTGGAATTAGGAGTATGGGTCCTGAATGGGAGAAAAGGGTCCAGCCACTTCACAGCTAGGCAAATTGACTTCAGCAGAGTTATTCAAACTCTCCCAAACCTGCTTGGTTTCAGAAAAACAGCCAAGTATTTGGCACCCACCTCACAGAACTGTTGGATCTACGTAAAAATGCTAAACGTAACTGCACAGCAAGAGCTAATTAAATATTAGTATTTAATAGTAGTAGTAAAATTATTGTGCTTGTTCCCCCCACCCCCACCCCCCCCCAGTTCACAGCCCCAACAGAACTGGCCCAAATCCCACTCCCAACTTGCAGTATCTGAACCGGAACACGGTTACACTCTCTCATGCATGAGACAGACCCCCCAAAAGTCACAGAGCTGCTGCAAGCCCCCTCCCCCACAAGCAAGAAAGAGCCCTTCAGGCCACCACTAAGATCCACACTGACCTGATATGCCGCCTCCTATCACCACTACGTCGAACATGTGGATCGCCTTCTCGTGATTCGCCATTCTTGGCTTCAGGCTCTCCCGGGGCGACTGTATATGAGCCGGGACTGCCAAGGGTGGGGCAGACCCTTCTTCGGACACTCGGGGGGAGCCCGAGGGCGGAGTCGGCCTCTTTACAAATACCCAGTGGGAGCCAGGCACCGAGGGCGGGGCAGACCCTTGTGTTAACACCCGGGGAGAGCCCGGGGGCGGAGTCGATCCTTCTAGAGATACCCGGGTGGAGCTGGGTATTGAGAAGGTCGTGGACCCTTGCACTGACACTCGAGGGGTGTTATTGGGAACAGGAGGCGCTGTTATCGATATTTGAGAAGGATAGCTGTGTGTGGGAGGTTCCGCTATCGAATCCCGGGGGCTGCTGACCACCAAATGCTGCGCAGACCCTTGAGGTGTGTTAGTGTGTGTAGGCGGCCCTTGCACTGATCGTTGCGAAAAGTATTTGGGTAGAGGGGGTCCTAGTACTGACACCCAAGGATGACTAGGCACTGTGGGGGCGGTGAACCCTTGTACGGTCACTTGGGGTGTGTAATCTGCTGTAGGAGGCGTTGGCAAAGCTATTCGTGAAGAGCTAGTGCATGTAGGAAGCCCTGGCCCCGATAACCATTGGAAGCCGGGCACTGAGGTCGGGGTGGGCTCTTGTATCGACCCGCAGTGGGATCCCGGCACTGAGAACGGGCCAGAGCTTATTGTCGACCCATCATCAACGGAGGCGGGACGCAGATCAATCGAACTCGGGGGAGTGCTGAATAAAGAGGGCTGGGAGGACTCTTGTGTCAACACTACGGAATCAGAAAGAGGGACAGTTTCTGTTACCGGCAACCCCAAGATGCCGGTGTCCACGTTAATGGGAGGGGCGGCTCCACCCGACACGTTCGAGCGAGTGGTTGACTGAGAGATCCGATTCCTTGGGCCGTGGGTACTGAAGCCCCAGAGGCCAGTCTTGGAGTCGGAATCAGTCGCCCGGCTAACACTGCGGCTGAAGTGGGTAGACACACCAGAGCTCCACGAGTCGGGCGCGTCCCGTGAGGTCGTGCTCGACTGGGAGCCGGCAAGCGGACGGGAAAGAGTCCGCCACTCAGACTGGATACTCCACTCGGACGAATCGGAAGGGGCTTGGCCCACGTTGGAAGCTGAACTGGGGACCGGGACAGATGAACTCCCGGTTTCGGTTACACGCTCGGCCTCTCGCTCCCTCCCGCCACCGCTACCCCTGCCCCTGCCCCTGCCCCTGCCGCGGGTGCTGGGAGTCGCTGACGGATTCGGAGCACTCATGGTTCTAAATCACACAGACTGCTGAGGTAGATGTTCCGCCCCTTTACAACCTTCCCCAACCAAGCTCGCCTCTCAGACCCAGTCTGTAATCTCGAAGGCCCGCCCAGAGCGCCCGGCCCACTCAAAGGCGGAGAGCGCAACGCAGCGTTGATGCAGCCAGGCTCCGCCTTCTCCTCAGGCAGGCAGCGCGCGAACTGGAAGTTCGACCGTTGGAGGTTAGGCGATACCTCTGCGGGGGGGGGGGAACTCTGTGAACATGCAAGCGTAGGAAAGTGGATGTGGGCTTAACTAACTTCTTTCATTTCGACGATTTAACTGGAAGCAGCGTTTTCGGGAGGGTGGGCTTAGGAAGGCCTATATCTGGGCAAAACGAACTCAGAGGGCAAGGTTGTGACCCCCCCTCCGCTCCATTTGGTATGGTCCCGCTGCGACGTCATGTAGGCTCCGCACGGCCTGCGCAACCTTACGTTTTTCCTAGGGAGGGGCGGGGCGGAATGGAAACACGGAAAGATCTGGTTCTGCACGAGGTTTTTCAGGCTGAGCAGTTTAACCAAGGTCAAGAAAGTAAGCATGAAAAATACCTCACCTACCACAGATTAAGTGGAAGTGCAGTTTAAAAGTGAAAGTCAAGGGGCTGGCGTTGTGGTTTTCGGGTTAAACCGCTCCCCGGGATGCGGGCGTCCTATATTGGCGGGCTGTTCCTTTTTGATCCCGCTCGGTGCTAAAGCGCCTGGGAAGACACGGAAGATGGATCCGTGTCACACACGTGGGAGACCCGGATGAGTTCCAAGCTCCTGGCTTCAGCCAGGGCTGAGTGACCATCTGGGGAGTGAAACAGCAGGTGGAAGATCCCTCTCCCTCCCTCCCTCTCTCTATGTAACTCTACCTTTCAAAAATATTTAAAGTGGAAGTCAAGGGATGGCTAAGGTGCAGAAACAAAAAGTATTTCGCCATCCTACCGATAAAAGTGACACCCATTGCGTTTTTATGAAAGGTTTACGTTTTTGAAAGGCAGAATTATGGGATGGGGGCGGGGGGGAGATCCCATCCTCAGATTCACTCCCCAGATGTCCTCAACAGGAGCCTGGAACTCCATCCGGGTATCCCATGTGGGTGGCAGGGGTCCAGGTACTAAGTGGGCCATCTTTCCAGGTGCATTAGCGATATCAGGACTCAACTAGCACTCTTGATGGATGCAGCGTCATAGATGTGGCTTAACTGGCTTGGCCCCAGCCCTAGCCCTAGCCCCAGCCCCATGTGCATAAATTTTCACTGTGCAGCCATTCTTCTTTCTGGCTAGTTTTATCCTTTCCTTAAAGTTCAACTTTTCCTTTCCTCTTAAAATTGAATTTATCATCATCAGTGGAATGCTCAAAAATATGAAATTAAGATTTGATGAAATCAAATGATGAAAATTCTAGGAAGTTAACTAGATATTTGTTCCCACCTATGAACATGTCTCCTTCCCCTCTGCTACATCAAATATCTTGTTGAAGTAAGTGTAAGGAAATGTGGATTTAGTCTTTTCTTTGTTCTAATAGCTTTTACTGCCTAGAAAAATGACTTGTTACTTAACTAAATTGGAACCATTTTTCTTTATCTTGTTAGATTTTGAGGCATAAAGAAAGGAAATAAAGAACTCAGCTCTAATATGATTCTATCCCCTTTTCTCATTCCCATTGCTTTTCTTTCTTTTCATTCAAATACTTGATTTCACACCATGTGCGAGGCCCAGGGCAACACAAAACAGAGATCATCAGTTCCTAGCTCCAGACTTTGTCCTGTCCCAGCCCCCTAGCCATTGAGGACCCTTGGGGCGTGAATCATTGGATAGGAGCTCTCTGTGTGTCCTCCTGCTGTTTATCACTCTCTCTGTGTCTCTGCTTCTCAAATAATAAAAAATGTAAATGTCAAAGTCTTATTAAAGAAATTGTGAATGGAGTCAATGGGTAGAATTATGGGTATTTTCTCTTCATTTTATTTGTGCTGTGTATTTTGTGTATCACAATTAAAACAATAAAAGTTATTTTAAAATAAAATTATAAAATATCCCACAAGTATTATTTACTCTTAGGTGTGACCTTTGGCAAATTATTTAACTTCTTTGTACCTGTCTTCTCAACCCTAGACTCTTTCATATGTTGTTGAATCGGCCAGGATTCTAGAAGAAAACACCAAACTCAAATTAAGTAATTTGAGGATAGTGTCATCAAAGAACTATTTTGTAAAGCATGCACAAGATGGTGAGAAGCCACAAGGAATGGAATTACCAAGGCAAGCAGCAGGAAGGTGTCACTACAAAGGGGTAAGAGCATTCATCAGAACCTGATGTCAGAGCTGTTTTGAAAGGTATTACAGACTGTGGCCTTTAGTTCAGGGAGACAGCCAGCCCACAGGAAACCCACAGTGGGGAGCTAAGAGAATAAATACCCACAATCTCCCTATTCTCTCTTTCCCTAGTCTCTGCTGGCCTTCTGCTCTGACCTCACCTAACCAGAATCTAGATGGCAAGGGAGCCTGTTGGTGCAGTCCCTACAGGTCAGCCTCAGGGAACAGAAGAGAGTAGAGAAGTGCAGTGGGTGCCCCAGAGGGTTTGAGTGAGGGTTCAATGAGCAGATGAATGTAAGACACCAAGTGTAGTACCTGACGTGAAAAATTTCTTAATGCATATTCACATTTTAATGTTTAAAAATAAATTATATTGTTGTGATGCACTATAGTTTTATTAAACCATTATCCTCTAAGCATTTAGTATGTTCTAATTTTTGATAGAATATGTAACATGGTGATGAATATTTTGGACATAAAATATTGTTTGTATTTTTTAGAATTTCCTTGAGATGGAATTCTAAAACCTGGATTATGTGGTAAGAAAGTAGAAACTCTTCAATTGAAACTACCAAGTTACTTGCCCAAAGTTTGTACAGATGTATACTTTATGAGCAATCTCTAAGAATAGCTGTCTTCTTACTATACCTACTCTAACATTAAGCAAACTAATTTTTAACGTTTCTTAACTTGAAAGGTGAAAAATGAGCATTGCCATTGCTTTCTCTCTTTTTTTTAAAACTTTATTTATTTATTTGAGAGGCCGAGTTACAGAGATAGAGAAAGAGAGAGACAGAGAGATCTTCCATCTGCTGGTTCACTTCCCAGTTGGCTTACACGGCTGGGACTGCGCCGATCTGAAGCCAGGAGCCAGTAGCTTCCTTCGGGTGCAGGGTGCAGGGGCCCAAGGACTTGGGCTATCTTCTACTGCTTTTCCCAGGCCATAGCAGAGTTGGATCGGAAGTGGAAGCAGCCGGGACTTGAACCGGCACCTGTTGGGGTCTTAAGGCTGAGACTGTCCCCTGACCAGCAGGGGGCAGTACAAGCACTCCCCGACAAGGTGAATGGGAGAGGTAAGGTCGATGGGTCAAGCACACCACAGCAAGCACCTGTGAGTTCTGTCGAAGCAGGAACTACTTTATTGAGTAAGCGTACAGGCTTATAAAGCTTATGAAGGACATGCGCAGCAGGGGAGCCAATCAGTGAAAAGGTCACACAGGCACGGGTGTACCATGCACAGGGGCACCTTAAGTGAGGTATAGGGATCATGCACTGTCCACGTGTCCGGAACTAAATCGGACCTGTCCCTGCAAGTGGTCTGATCTTGCATGGTATAACTGCAGCAGCCGCAGACACGCCCCCGATCATCCGCCAGGCACCATGTTGTTAGGGACTATTTTAGGGAATGCCCAATAGGTGCCCATATGGGACACTGTGCAGGTGGCAGCTTTACCCACTACGCCACAGCACTGGCCCCTGGCATTGCTTTTTTTTTTTTTTTGGACAGGCAGAGTGGACAGTGAGAGAGAGAGACAGAGAGAAAGGTCTTCCTTTTTGCCGTTGGTTCACCCTCCAATGGCCGCCGCGGCCGGCGCATCGCGCTGATCCGAAGCCAGGAGCCAGGTACTTATCCTGGTCTCCCATGGGGTGCAGGGCCCAAGCACTTGGGCCATCCTCCACTGCACTCCCTGGCCACAGCAGAGAGCTGGCCTGGAAGAGGGGCAACCGGGACAGAATCCGGCGCCCCGACCGGGACTAGAACCCCGTGTGCCGGTGCCGCAAGGTGGAGGATTAGCCTAGTGAGTCGCGGCGCCGGCCAGCATTGCTTTCTAAATGAGCATTTCTTTGTTTACCAATGAAACCCTTTTTTCATATATGTATTAGCCATTTCAGTTTTTCTTCCATGAATTATCAATTCATGCCTTTCTGTAGCTGATGTCAGTAAGTGCTTTATGTAACAAGCTATTAACCCCTTGTCTTATTTTCACTGAAGAGACTTTCTGCCAATGACATTTTAGACATGCTGAAATGTCAACTTTGTGTGTTTAAATCTTTTCCTTAGTTATTTCTCCCATTGCTTTTTTAAAAGGTTTATTTATTTATTTGAAAGTCAGAGTTACAGAGAGGAGAGACAGAGAGAGATAGAGATCTTCAATCTGTTGGTTCTCTCCCCAAATGGCCACAACAGCTGTGGCTGGGCCAACCTGAAGCCAGGAGCCAGGAGTGCCTTCAGTGTCTCCCAGATGGGTGCAGGGGCCCAAGCACTTGGGCCATCTTTTGCTGCTTTCCCAGGCCATTATCAGGGAGTTGCAGGGACTCGAACTGGCAACCATATGGGATGCTGACACTGCAGATGGTGGCTTAACCCACTGTGCCACAGAGCTGACCCCTCTCCCATTGCTTTTAAACTCAGAGGGTTCTTATATTTCCAAGAGCTGAAGGGTGGGCTCTGTCTTCTTTTGATTCTTTGATCGTTTTATATTTTAATACTTATTTAATCCTAACCTTTTAGGATGTGTTTTAGGGTGAGGCTCTAAATGGGTACCCCCCCAAAAAAGTTAACTAATCTTAACAGACTGTTGAAAAATCCTTTCATTCTTTACTGATTTACCTCATATAACATAAATAGAACCATCTTTTCTATTATATTGACCTGCTTATTCCTGCCACATTGTCATCAGTGCCACATTGATTTACTTATTGCTGCTTTATAGTAAATTTTGCCAGATGGAAGAATTAGTCTCTTCCCAGTAGCCTTTTATTTTTTTTATAAATCATTTAACAAGAATCTTATACATTCCTTTCATGAATATATTATATATTTAAATGAATGTCATAATCATTTCACCCATGAAAAATTTCCTTGGTTGTATTATTCAGGATGATATTTCCTAGACATTAATTTAGGAAATTTATAATTGGTAGCCTCCTGTAACATCTTTTTAAAAGATTTATTTACTTATTTGAAAGAGTTACACAGAGAGAGAAGGAGAGGCAGAGAAAGAGAGAGAGGTCTTCTATTCGCTGGCCACAATGGCTGGAGCTGCGCCGATCCGAAGCCAAGAGCTTCTTCTGGATCTCCCATGCTGGTGCAGGGGCCCAAGGACTTGGGCCGTCTTCCACTGCTTTCCCAGAGCATAGCAGAGAGCTAGATCTGAAGTGGAGCAGCCAGGACTTGAACTGGTGTCCATATGGGATGCCGGCACTACAGGTTGTTGCTTTACCCACTATGCCACAGTGCCAACCCTGTAACATCTTTTAAAAGAGGTCCTCATTTGCAAGTTACTTATAGGAAATTTTGATTTATATCTGAAATGAAGCAAAGTTTATTATTTGTATTTTTTAGAGGATGAGTCTTGTATGTTTTTCTATGTGTGTAGTGTCATAAATCCTTTTGATCTGTATATTTTTTATTTGTGTTTTTTTTATTAATCTGTATACTAGGACAACTTTCATCTGCTTTAATTTAGATTATTGCTTGTGTTTTGAGTGTTTGGTTTATTACTGAAAAACACCCATATTTATCTTATTGGAGCACCTGTCCTTTTCCTATAAATTCTGAGAGAGCAAAGTAAATGTATCTTTCATATCACTGATTTTATTTTCTTCAGTTCTATTTTTCCTGCCTCTAATGCTGAATTTAACTGTGGCTCTTCAGTTTAGGTTTTTGCTTTGCTTTTTAAGCTTTAAATTCTTACTTGCCTAACTAACTTTTCATTTATGCTATGTATATCTTATTTTTCCTTATAACTTCCTGATTTTGTTACATAGAGACCTAGTTTTATGGGTCTCCCAGGGACATCATCAAATGTTGTTGAAAGTGCTGTTCTTGGGCTTGGTGCTGTGGCATAGCAGGTAAAGCCGCCACTTCCAGTGCTGGCATCCCATATAGGTGATGGTTCGAATCCCAGCTGCTCCACTTCTGATCCAGTTCTCTGCTATGGCCTGGGAAAGCAGTAGAAGATGGCCCAAGTCCTTGGGCCCCCTGCATCCTCATGGGAGAGCCAGAAGAAGCTCCTGGCTTCAGATCGGCACCGCTCTGGTCATTGTGGCCAATTGGGTAGTGAACCAGCAGATGGAAGACCTCTCTTTCTCTCTGCCTCTCCTCTCTCTGTGTAACTTTAATTTTCAAATAAATAAATCTTTTTTAAAAAGTGCTATTCTTTGTCTACAGACGTATGTGACACCCTCATACATTGATGACCTAAGTCTAAAATAGTACAATCATTTGTTATGGATACTGCCACATTTTCATGATTTGTCTGGGTTTTTTTCTGAATTACTTGAAAATAAGTTGAAGTACTCATGACATTATACCTCAAAGAATTTAGCCTATACTTAGAACATTCTCCCCTATAACTAAAGTACCGTTATGACACCTATGAAAATTAACACTAATCAGTAATATGTAGTATACAATCTGTATTTACATTCCTCAATTCTCACAATGTCTATAGTTTTTTTAAAAAAAAGATTTATTTATTTGAAATGCAGGTTGGTAGAGAGGGAGACACACACACACACACACACAGAGAGAGAAAGAGAGAAGGAGAGAGAGAGAGATCTGAGATATCCTCCATCTCCTGGCTCACTCCACAAAGGTCTGTAGTGGTCAGGGCTGCGGCAGGCCGAAGCCAAGAGCTAGGGACTCCATCCGAGTCTCGCACATGAGTGGCATGGACCCATGCACTTGGACCATCTGCTGCTGCTTTCTCAGATGCATTAGTAGAGAGCTGGATTAGAAACAGAGCCGCCTAGACTGGAACTAGCACTCAGATATGGGACATTGTTGTTACATGAGGTGGCTTAACCTGCTGCACCACAATGCTGGCCCTACAACATTGACTTTTTAAAGGATTCTGAAGGATCCAGGCCAGTTGTTTTGCAAAATGTCCTATAGCTAGATTTCTCTGATTGTTTCCTCATGATAAGACTCAGAAATTTTTGTATAAGTATTGTGTAAGTGAGGTTGTATAGTTCTTGTTACTGCACATCAAAGGACAGATTATATTAGGTCAATAAGACTGATGATCTTAAATTCAATCCTTTGGTTCAGGTGGCAACTGTAAAGAAATGTTTTTCCTTTATAATTAGTGAACTAATCTGCTGAGTCAGAGTGATACTTGGAGTCCTTGTGAATAAACTATTTCTCTCTCTTTTTTTTATTTATTTGACAGAGTTAGACAGAGAGAGAGAGAGAGAGAGAAAGGTCTTCCTTCCATTGGTTCACCCCCAAATGGCCGCTACGGCTGGAGCTACACCGATCTGAAGTCAGGAGCCAGGTGCCTCCTCCTGGTCTCTCATGCGGGTGCAGGGCCCAAGCACTTGGGACATCCTCCACTGCCTTCCCGGGCCACAGCAGAGAGCTGGACTGGAAGAGGAGCAACCGGGACTAGAACCTGGCGCCCATATGGGATGCCGGTGCCGCAAGGCGGAGGATTAACCAAGTGAGCCACGGCGCCGGCCCCTAAACTGTTTCTCAATATCTTTCAAAGTTTTTGATGTCTCCTGAGATCCTTGCTTGAATCAGTTATTTGTAAGACTTCAGAGTGGTGGATTTTTCTAATTCTTTGTATGTTTACTACTTGATTTCTGTAAAGAAAATCTTTCCTTTTTTAAACCCATTTCTCCTTATGTCTAATTAACTTATTTATTTTGGCACTACACTGGGGCTGATGGATTTTTAAATTAATGTTTCATTTATTATCATAATTATTTTTGATGCTCTAGTTGTCTTAACTTTATTGGCAATTTAGTTTTGTCAAAAAAAGTACCTTGTGATTGGTATATAGCTTCTGGACTGGTAGACATTGTAAATGAGTAAGTGGTTGATGCAAGTGCCATAATTTTGAGTTGCCTTTAGTGTGGTGACTGTTAGCATGTTACAAAATGAGGAACCCTGAAAACTATGCCTGTCGATTATTACAGAAGTATTTGGCTCCTATAAGCATAAGATTGTTAACTCAGGCTAGGTTACACACTTGTCTGATGTGAAATTTGATCCGTTGAGCCTGAACTAGCACTTAGGAGACTAAACAGAATAGCTGCAGTACAATTATTTGGACTGCTGTCTGATCTGCTCCTAAGACTCCATGGAGGGGCTGGCGCTGTGGCGGATTAAAGCCCTGGCCTGAAGCACCGGCATCCCATATGGGCACCCGTTCTAGTCCTGGCTGCTCCACTTCCGATCCAGCTCTCTGCTATAGCCTGGGATAGCGGTAGAAGATGGCCCAAGTCCTCAGACCCCTGCACCCACGTGGGAGACCTGAAAGAAGCTCCTGGCTCCTGGCTTCGGATCGGCGCAGCTCTGGCTGTTGCAGTCATCTGGGGAGTGAACCAGCAGATAGAAGACCTCTCTCTCTGTCTCTACCTCTTTGTAACTCTTTCAAATAAATAAAATAAATCCTTAAAAATGAAAGACTCCATGGAAAATAAACATTGGATGCTGCCCTGCTGGTGGATTGTGGTTTCTATCCTATATACCTTTCAGTGAATGGATGGATAATAGAGTTTGTAGGTTTTGAGAGTATGAAGGCTTAGTTAATTGAATATTCTATAATGGGAGCTGAATTATTTTTAAAAGAATACTCAGAGAAATCTCATTTTTCATTTTTTAAAATATTTTTATTTACTTGAGAGAGAGAGAGAAAGAGAGAGAAATATCGATCTTCTATCTGCTGGTTCACTCCCCAAATGGCTGCAACAGCTGGGGCAGGGTTAGGCTGAAGCCAGGAGCCAAGAGCTTTTTCCAGGTCTCCCATGTGGGTGCAGGGGCCCAAGCACTTGGGCCATCCTCTACTGCTTTCCTAGGCACACTAGCAGGGAGCTGGATTGGAACTAGAGCAGCCAGGACTTGAAATGGTGCCCAAATGGGATGCTGGTGCTGTGGGCCATGGCTTTAACCTGATATGATACAATAAAGGCCAGGAGAAATCTCATTTTTATCTATTACTGGATACAGTAGAGTTTGGTGGAAGTGATACTATGTGACTTCTGAGGCTAGGCCATTGCTAGGGTCTGAATGCCTGTGTCCCCAACTCCCACCCCCTTAAATTCATATGTTGCAGGGCCAACATTGTGGTATAGCAGGTTAAGCCACCTCCTGTGATACCAGCTTCCCATATGGGCACCAGTTCGAAACCTGGCTGCTCTACTTCTTATCCAGCTCTCTGCTAGTGTGCCTGGGAAAGCAGCAGAGGATGACCTAAGGACTTGGGACCCTTTACCCACATGGGAGACCTGCAAGAAGCTCTGGGCTCCTGGGTTTATCCTGGTCCACTCACATCCATTGCAGCTATTTGGGGAGTGAACTAGAGGATGGAGGATCTTTCTCTCTCTGCCTTTCAAATAAACAAATAAAATATTTTTTAAAAATGCCAAAAGCCATGATAAGCAAGCTACCATATTTTGAAGTTTTTAATTATTATTTGTTGGCGATGCAGAGAGACAGGGAGAGCTGCTTTCTGCTAGTTTATTCTGAATATCCAAAATGGTCAGGGTGGAGCCAGGAGCTGAGAACATGACCCAGGTCTCCCACATGGGTTACAGTAACCCAATAACTTGGGTCATCATCTGCTGTCTTCCAGGGTCTGCATTAGTGGAAGCTAGAGTCAGTAGATCTTGGTATTGAACCCAGACATTCCAGTGTGGTACTCAACTCAGGAATCTTATCCAGACTTTTAACCACTAGACCAAACACCTGCCCCATCATAATTTTAAATAAGGACAGGATATTAATTTTGATATATCCTTTGGCTTTAAAGCTTCAGTATGGACAGACACAGCACTGCTCTTGTGTCCTCCCAATATGCCCATCCAGTGGGTAAGTTTTCCTTATCTCAGAATTTAGAAGATACATGTGGGCCACTCTGTTCAGTTTGTGTGCCTTTGTTATTTAAGAGTTGTCCTGAGCTCAGGTTCACATTCTTTTTAGACTTTCCCATTGACTCTTCTCCCTCTGTTATCTGTAGAAGTTGAGTATAAGCCATTGAAGCCACGTGAGAGCTGAGTGCCTACAAACTCCAAGTGCCCTTGTGCCATGTCTAAAGAGCAGTTACCTGCCAAAAATATTTCATACAGGCTTAAAGATGCCAAAGCAACCTCATAACTTTCACTTCCCCTACTCTCCTCCAGGCAGTATCCATCAAACAGTACTTTTCAACAAAAACACAGGGTCCATGACTTCTCTGGAAGTAACAGGGTGCCCCTGCTTCCCTCAGAGCTACCACATTTGATCACTATTTGAAGAAATGTCCTACCAGGAATTTAAAGGCAAACACAAAGTTTCTTGTGTTTGCAAAAACAAAGGATAATTTGAGGAAGGTTTACCAAAGGAAATATTTATCAAGGTATGGGCAGGGTGCAGGAAGATCACAAAGGAAATAATAGCAGAGCTGTTTCCTGACCTAGGCAAGGTCAGAAGAAATGGAAGGAGGGAGTGGTTACTGAAACCTGGAAGGATAAAATATGGAGAGGACCACTTAGAAAGGAGCTGTGAGCACTGGTTTAAGGATACAGGTGGCTCCCTGGAGACCTCACAGGAGAGAATTCTGGAATAAGGATACAAAACTTACTATGTTTTCTCTGTTATCTTCCCATTGGATAAGCTGAATCAGGATTCAGTCTCAATTGAACAAAGTCAATTAGAAGCCAGAGCATATTAGAACCTGTTAAGACTGTACTAGGCAGCCTCCGAGGACATTAAGCAATGTGGAAAAGAGTGGAGAGTAGATCTGAAATGGTAACTGAGAGACATCTAACAGATAACCTTCAGTTAAAGATACACTATGAATCACATACCTTGCTTTTCACAGTAAAGTATCATGTTTGCCAATTTTTTTCCCAGAATCCAGAATATAAGCATTTTTTAACTTGCAAGTGAGCTCAGTCTCTGTCATTCTTTTTTTTTTTTTTGACAGGCAGAGTGGACAGTGAGAGAGACAGAGAGAAAGGTCTTCCTTTGCCTTTGGTTCACCTTCCAATGGCCGCCGCGGCTGGCGCGCTGTGGCTGGCACACCGCGCTGATCCGATGGCAGGAGCCAGGTGCTTCTCCTGGTCTCCCATGGGGTGCAGGGCCCAAGCACTTGGGCCATCCTCCACTGCACTCCCGGGCCACAGCAGAGAGCTGGCCTGGAAGAGGGGCAACCGGGACAGAATCCGGCTCCCCGACCGGGACTAGAACCCGGTGTGCCGGTGCCGCAAGGTGGAGGATTAGCCTAGTGAGCCGCGGTGCCGGCCAAGTCTCTGTCATTCTTTAGCTGTAACGATGTTATCTGGCAAAAATAAAATCTCTAGGAGTGACCAAGTGGTGTCTGCTGGTACTGAAGGAGCCAATGAAATCTATAATAGCCTTCATTTTCCAAATTCTCCAGTGACTTTTTCTTTGAAGTGACTCTTGATGTGTTCTTTCAGAAATGACAAAAGTACAGTGAAAGGCTCTCACTAACTCTTTGGAGGGTGGATTGGTATAAACTTATTAGAAAAATGATTTGGCAATGCATATCAAAAGCCTTACTGATGTTCCCTCTTACTAACTACCACTTCCATTTCATGGAATCCTTCATAGAATATACAAACCCAGGCAAAACATTTATGTAGAAAGACTTTATTGCAGTCATTTCTATGATTAACTCCTTCCAAAAAGAACCCCTAAAATTTAGAACAATGAAACATGAAACAATGATAGGAAAATACATGACAAGTATGCAGTTGGAGAGCTTGCAGCCTTCAAAAATTAGGTTGTGAGGTGAGCATTTGGCATAGGAGTTACGGAAATCTACATCCTATATTAGAGTGCTTGGATTTGAGTCCTAGCTTCTCATCTGATCCATCTTCCTGCTAATGTGCACCCTGGAAGGCATGGAGTGATGGCTCAAGTAAATAGGTCCCTGCAGACTTGGACTGATGGCCTAGCTCCTGGTTTCAGCCTGGCCCAGTTCTGGCTGTAGCAGACATTTGGGGAATGAACCAGTGGATGTAAGGTCAATTTCTCTCTCTTCCCCCATTTCAAATATAAATTAATTACTATATAAAAATATGTTGACAAAGGATATTTTCATGGCATGAGAAAACAATTATCTAAGATGCAGTGAATAAAACAAGCACAATAAAAAATTTAAATGAGGTAGGGTCTCAATTACATAAAACAAAATGTATAGGATGAGGGAGAATCTTCAAAATACTAAGGAAAATTTATTTGTCCAAAGGGACAAATATCATATGTTCTCCCTGATTGGTGACAACTAACTGAGCACCAAAAAGGAAACCTGTTGGAATGAAATGGACACTATGAGCAACAATGACTTGATCAGCCTTGTCCTGACTGTCGATGAACAACTTAAAACTTTATCCCTTTTAGTATTTTTTTTGTTCTAGTTAATACTATTGGTTGAACTCTGTAATTAACATGCAGTTATTCTTAGGTCTTGAAATTTAACTAAAAAGTGATCTCTGTTAAATATAAGAGCGGGAATAAAAGAGGGAGGAGATGTACAATTTGGAACATGCTCAAGCTGACTTGCCCCAAATGGTAGAGTTAGAAATGTGCCAGGGGATTCCAATACAATCCCATCAAGGTGGCATGTACCAATGCCATCTCACTAGTCAAAGTGATCAATTTCAGTCCACAATTGATCATAATGATAGGTCTAAGAGTCAAAGGGATCACACAAACAAGACTAGTGTCTGCAAATACTAACTGATAGAATCAAAAAGGGAGAGAATGATCCAACATGGGAAGCAAGATACACAGACTCATAGCATGGCAGATGTCCTAAACAGCACTCTGGCCTCAGAATCAGCCCTTAAGGCGTTTGGATCTGGCTGAAGAGCCCATGAGAGTATTTCAGGCATGGAAAGCCAAGACACTCTGGCAAAACAAAAGCAAAACAACAACAACAAAAAAACTAAATGAAAGATCTCTGTGAGTGAGATCCCAGTGGAAAGAACAGGCCATCAAAGAAGGAGGTACCTTTCTCTGAAGGGAGGAGTGAACCTCCACTTTGACTATTACCTTGTTTAAATAAGATCGGAGTTGGCGAACTCAAAAGGCTTCCATAGCCTTGGCAACTCATGACAAGAGCCTAGGGAGATTACTGACGCCATAAACTAGAGTGTCAATTTGTTAAGCCAACAACAGGAGTCACTGTGCACTTACTCCTCATGTAGGATCTCTGTCCTTAATGTGTTATCCAATGTGAATTAATGCTATAACTAGTATTCAAACAGTATTTTACACTTTGTGTTTCTGTGTGGGTGCAAGCTGTTGAAATCTTTACTTAATATATACAAAATTGATCTTCTGTATATAAAGAGAATTGAAAATGAATCTTGATGTGAATGGAATGGGAGAGGGAGTGGGAGAGGGGAGGGTTGTCGGTGGGAGGGAGTTATGAGGGGGAAAAAGACATTGTAATCCATAAACTGTACTTTGGAAATTTATATTTATTAAATAAAAGTTTAAAAAAAAGAAAAAATGAAAAAAATTTATTTTGAAATAATTATAGATGCACATGAACTAACAAAACTAGTACAGAGGGAACCTGTGTACCCTTTACCCAGCTTCTCCCATTGGTTACAACTTACATAAGCAAAGTACATTATCAAAACCAGGAAATGTTCGTCTATAGATTGGTACATTCTCACCAGCATCACTGATGTTGTTTCCGAATTATAATCCACAAAAGCTGTTAGCAATTATACTTCACTTACACACATTTCATTGGTGAAGAAAAGAAAACTAAAAGATAGAACTTTGGAAGTTTTTGCCGTAAAGAAATGTTGTTCAGTGTTCAAGGAGATAAATATATTTACTCTGATCACACAATATATACATGTATCAAAAGAGCACAAGGTACTTCATAAATGTGTCCAATTTTTATGTGTGTTAAAAATGTTTTTTCAGCCAGCGCTGTGGCTTATTAGGCTGATCCTCTACCTGCGGCGCCGACACACTGGGTTCTAGTCCTGGTCGGGGCGCTGGAATCTGTCCCGGTTGCCCCTCTTCCAGGCCAGCTCTCTGCTGTGGCCCGGGAGGGCAGTGGAGGATGGCTCAAGTGCTTGGGCCCTGCACCCGCATGGGAGACCAGGAGGAAGCACCTGGCTTCTGGTTTCTGTTTGGCGCGGTGTGCTGGCCACAGCGGCCATTGGAGGGTGAACCAACAGTAAAGGAAGACCTTTCTCTCTGTCTCTCTCTCTCACTGTCCACTTTGCCTGTCCAAAAAAAAAAAAAAAAGGAAAAAGAAAAAGAAAAAAATGTTTTTCTAAATAAGTAAAATAATCTGATCAACTAATCAATAAATAGAACTCATCATTTTTACTGCTTAACCTCCCTTGCAACTAAGTGTGACTAAGTGTGACAATTATATCTTCTGATCAGAAGATATAATTAGAAATGTCAAGTCAAACCCCCAGGAAGTATTATTTTCTTTTTTTTTTTTTTTAGATTTATTTTATTGATTTGAAAGAAAGAGAGAGGTAGAGATAGAGACAGAGAGAGGTCAGTCTTCCATTCGCTGGTTCACTCCCCAGATGGCCTCAATGGCCGGAGCTGGGCCAGTCTGAGCCAGGAGCTTGTTCTGGGTCTCCCACATGGGTGCAGGGGCCCAAGGATTTTGGCCATCTTCTACTGCTTTCCCAGGCCATAGCAGAGAGTTGGATCTGAAGTGGAGCAGCCAGGACATGAACCAGTGCCCATATGGGATGCCAGTGCTTCAGGCCAGGGCTTTAACCCACTGCACCACAGCACCGGCCCCTTCTTTTCTTTTTATAAAAGATTTATTTTACTTAATTGAAAAGCAGAGTTAGAGAGGGAGGCATACACGCACACACGAGAAAGAGAGAGAGAGAGAGAGAGAATATCTTCCATCCACTGTTTCACTCATCAAATGGCCACAGAAGCCAGGCCTGGGTCAGGCTGAAGGCAGGAGCCAGGAACTCCATCCAGGACTCCTACCTAGGTGTCAGGGGCCCAGGCTCTTAGACCAGCTTCTGCTGCTTTCCCAGGTGCATTAGGTTAGCAGGGAACTGGATCAGAAGCAGAGCAGCTAGTTCTCAAACTGGTGCTCATATGGGATGCCAGTGTCACAGGTAGCAGCTTAACCAGCTGTACCACAATGCCAGCCCCAGAAATATTTTTAAAAAAATATTTATTTCATAGAGTTACACACAGAGAGAAGGAGAGGCAGAGAGAGGGGGGTGGGGAGAGAGAGAGAGAGAGAAAGAAAGAAAGTCAGTCTTCCATCCACTGGTTCACTCCCCAATTGGCCACAATGGCTGGAGCTGCGCTGAAGGCAGGGGCCAGGAGCTTCTTCCATGTCTCCCACGTGGGTGCAGGGACCCAAGGACTTGGGCCATCTTCTACTGCTTTCCCAGGCCATAGCAGAGAGTTGGATCTGAAGTGGAGCAGCCGGGACTCTAACTGGCGCTCATATGGGATGCTGGCATTACCTGCTACACCACAGTGCCGACCCCCCCCCCCCCGAAATATTCTTACAGGGAAGAACTGTCCACTCTCCTTTTCTTCTACTTGCAATGTAGACGTGAAGGTTAGGACTTGTGTTGCCATCTAATATGTGTCGCTCCCCCTCTTCGAGGAGGAACGACACAGGACCCTGCGCTGTTCTTTTGTCTGCTCGGCCCTCCCTGGGTTTGCTGCTCATTCTTCCCGGGTTGGCTACCGACCCTTCCACCTCCGTGGAAGGGCGGTTCCCCCTGCCACTTTCCCCACTTCCGCAGGGGAGCGGCACACCGCCGGCCGGCTCTCTCGGGGGCTGCACAGGTGTTCCTTCAGATAGATGCTCCTGGTGCATGTTGTCTCTCTCCTCCTTTATAGTCCTCTTCCACCAATCCCAACTCTGCTACCCACACGCCGAGTACGCTGCTCTCCTCCAATCAGGAGCAGGTCCTGTTGTTTATTGGTTGAACTGGAGGCAGCTGCGTAGAAGCTGTTTACTCCTCTCCCAGCGCCATATTGTGGGAGAGCAGATGCATAGAATAAGTCTTAATTCCAGTAACTTAGTCTAGTCCGAGTTGCTCCCCACAATATGAGCTAAAAGGAAGCTGATATGCTAGTTAGGAGTGCATGCATTTCTAGACTTCTTTTCCATAATATATTTTTTTGTTAAGCCACTATTATTTAGGATTTTCATTCACAAGTGGCTGAGCTCAATCCTGATACAGTTCTTGAAATGAATGTGGAACACTAAATATGTGTCTGTTGTTGTCCTGCTCAAGGAGCATAATCCCAACCAGTCATGTTCAGTTCTGTTTTACTGAGGTCTGAAGTCTTATTTTCATATCTCCTATCTACATGTTTTGGTTGGGGTAGGAGTGGGGCTGAGTGGAGGAGACTTACAAATGTCTGATACTGAAGGGTGTGCTGTCCATAGGTTATGAGTTGGCAGAGTTGGGAGAAGGGAAATCTATACTCAAAAGACAGATCCCTTTTATTGGTATTTATTTCATGGTCTCATTATTGTGATAGAAAGTAGATTCTTCCCATTCTCCTATTCTTCCTCTTCCATTTGGGTCTCTACTTTGCCATCTCTTTCTATTTCGCCTGTATTCTGTCTTGTCTAATCTCTGGGAGAGGAAAAACTGGTGTGCACATTTCTTGGAGTATTCATTTAACATACTTTAGAGATTTCTTTAAATATTTTCTAAAATATATTTATTTGAGAAGCAGAGAGATAGGAAGAGAGAGATAGACAGAGAGTGAGCTTTCGTCTGCTGATTCCCTCTTAATGCCTGCAGTGGCCAAAACTGTGACAGGCTGAAGCTGGTAGCCAGGAACTCAATCCACGTTTCCTACGTGGGTGGCAGGAACCCAGTAACTTAAGTCATTACCACTGCGTCTCAGGATCTGCAGTAGTAGGAAGCTGTAGTCATGATCCAGAGCTGGGAATTGAACCCAGGTACTTTAATATGGGACACATAAGTATCTTAACCACTGGGCTGAACGCCTACCCCTGAATATTTTTATGTGCAATTATTTGGTCTTCAGTGTAGACTGGAAGAGTGAATTTGGTCATTAGCATATCATTGAGAGTGAAGAAGGGGCAGGAAAAAAAGCATGGAAAAAATGGAATAATAATCTGAAGTATAACCCTATGTGGGAAAGAGCTGTGCAGATTATTAAGGTGGTAATTTAAGGTGATATCACTGAAATATATGGGAACCTAATTAAATTCCCAGGAGAATCTCCTAGACATAAGTATAGGCCGGCACTGTGGCCTAGCAGGTAAAGCCGCTGCCTGAAGTACCAGCATCCCATATGGGCACCGGCTCAAGTCCCGGCTGCTCCACTTCCTATCCAGCTCTCTGCTATGGCCTGGGAAAAGCAGTAGAAGATGGCCCAAGCACTTGGGCCCCTGCACCTGCGTGGGAAACCCAGAAGAAGCTCCTGGCTCCTGGCTTCGGATCAGCGCAGCTCTGCTCCTTGTGGCCAATTGGGGAGTGAACCAATGGATGGAAGACCTCTCTCTCTCAGCCTCTCCTTCTCTCTCTGTGTAACTCTGATTTTCAAGTAAAATAAATAAATCTTTTTAAAAAAGTATAACTGTATGTGATTGAGTTCCTTATTAAGTGACAGGTGACTTAAACTCGGAGTGGGGCACTGGATGTGCAGTGAGGTGAGGCAGGAAGTGCATCATCCTAGCTGCTCAATGGCTGAAGGTAAAGTTTCTATTTGGAACTCAAGAGTTGCTGCCCCTTTAAAGAAGTCTTTATGTGCTGGGGAAAGGATCAGGGAAAGGTAGGCTCTCTAAGCAAGTCAACATCAGTTCTTTCCCAGACTTCTGGTCCACAATGATATTGAATCAAGCCCTTTGGATGATTTATTTTAAATGCTGGCTCTGGCTGTCTGCATCAATAGCTCCTACAGGAGCCATGTCTGACATTTATGAATGTGTTTACTCTTCTCTTCACCTAAATAGTCAAGAGTCAGAGAGTCCTGTGAATCATGTAGCTCTAGGCAATTTTAAGTCTAGGCTCTTCTTTAAATCATCCCTTTAACTTTCAATATTTCAAGACACAATTTGAACAACAAAAAGGATTTTTTAAAGCCAGGCAGTGCCTTCCTTTGAATGATAAGCAATTAAGTTCAAATCAGCCTCAGTTAAGAGATTGCAGCTCCAGGCATTCCCACTGACTGGGACCAGGAAGGCAAAGTGAAATGATAAGGTAAACAAACAATTATCTACACAATTGAATCAATATGGTACTCTCTGCAAACAAGATCTCTCTTAAAAGCATCATCTTAAGAAGGATGTGAATTATAAACCAGATAACTGCCTTCAATTTAATCAACTTGATTCTGTATAAACAATGTTCAGAAGTGCTGAGGGCATGTGTTGGTT